TATTTCCTTTGCCAGATTGGAGAAGTTTTCCTTCATTATTTATTCAGATAAGTTTTCAATATCTTGCTCTTCCTCTACTTCTTCTGGCACCCCCATGAATCAGATGTTGGAACACTTAAAGTTGTTCCAGAGGTTTCCAAGCCTCTCTTCATTTTTTTTTTTTTGCATTCTTGTTTTTTCATTCTGTTCTGGTTGGATGTTTATTTCTTCCTTTTGTTCCTAATTATAGATTTGAGTCACAATTTCCTTCCCTTCAATGTTGGTTCCGTGTATATTTTCCTTTATTTCATTTTGTGTAGCCTTTATTTCTTCATTTTGTGACTGAGCTCAACCAATTCTGTGAGCATCCTGATTAGCAGTGTTTCAACTCTGCATCAGATAGGTTGTCTATCTCCTTGTCGCTTAGTTCTTTTTCTGGAGTTTTGATTTGGTCTTTCATTTGGGCCATATTTCTTTGTCTTGATGCACCTGTTATGTGGTAAGGGGTGGAGCCTTAGGCATTTGCCAGGGTAGGGCATTGTGGTGCTGTCAATGGGGGAGGGGTCAGAGAAGGAACAATGCTACTTGCAATTGTATTGTCCCACTTTCTGTCACTTCCATCACTCCCACAAACAGATTGTGCCCTTTCAGGTGCTGATTCCCAGGTGAGTGGGTTTGTGTATGCTTTAGGACCCTGTGGACCTCTCCAATGAACTCTCCTGTTAGGCTTGGAGTTTCTCCCACCACTGCAACCCACACAGATTTTTTACAGTAGGAGGTTTTGAATCTTTAGTTTTCCACACTGAAACCCTGGTTTTCACGTTCTGTCTTGCTCCCTGCATTGTTCCTCCTAGCTCATTTGTGCATGAGTGTAGGACCATCTGCTGGGTCTACCACCTTGCCTTTCTTCCTCTCCACCCTGACTGCCCATCTCCTCCCCTCCTACTACTCTGAATGAATGTTTCTTTAACTACTTGATTGTTGGACTCCATGCAAATGACTTTCTAGCAGTTCTGGTTGTTTATTGTTTTTAAATTGGTTGTTATCCCTTTGGTTATGTGAGGAAGTGAAGCATTTCTTCCTATACCTCCATCTTGACTGGAAGACAAAATTTTCTTCAGTCTATTTCCTCCATCAGAACTAAAAGGACAGCTAGATCAGGAGTGTAAACATAGAAATGAAGATCTCAAGGAGGGTTAGCAACAGGGGAGTGGGAGGAGGAGAAAGGGGGAGAAGGTACAAAAAATAAGTAGCATAGATAGTAGATAGAAAATAGAAGGGGGGCAAGAATAGCATGGGAAATACAGAATCTAAAGGACTTGAGACACTTGGTCATAAACTAAAGGGGGGGTAATGGTGGGGATAGGGGGGTAGGGTGGAGGGGAATGAAAGGGGGAATAGAACAACTGTAATGGCATAATCAATAAAATTAAAAAACTTTTATTTTCACTTATGAAATAATTTTGGTTTTTCTTCCATTTATTTTCTCAGTTCAATTTTATCTCTGTATTGTCTTGATACTTTGAAAGTGTGAATCAAGGTGACATTTTTTTATACCCTCAAATATTTATTTTCATATATTTAATTGAGTTTGGAATGTCTTGCAATTTTTAAAAAAGATTTTGTTTATTTATTTTTAAACAGAGGGGAAGGGAGTGAGAAAAAAAGAGAAACATCAATGTGTGGTTGCCTCAAGTACACCATCCACTGGGGGCCTGGCCTGCAACCCAGGCATATGCCCCACCCAGGAATCGAACCAGCAACCCCTTTGATCTCAGGCCAGTGCTCAGTCCACTGAGCCACACCATCAAGGACAGTCTTGCAATTTTTTTATGCTTTATAGTTGTTTTCTAAAATGGAATGTTTTATCAGTTGAGGTGTGGCAAATCTTAGTTTCTGATTTTTTTGATGATAACTTTGCAGATATTTACTGAGGAGTTTTCTCGTCTTTTGGTGGATGTGTGATGGTTTATAATATTTGTAGTTTAAAATCACACCATCTGGTAAAAAAGGAAGATGGTGACAGAGTAGGACGGGGAGGATTCTAGGTCCCGTACTAGTGGGTGAAAATCCTGGCAGATCTATAGAGAAGCAGTGCACTAAACCATTGGTTATCCAGCATTTGTGAAATTAAAAGAACAGAGATTGTGACGGACGCCGAAACACCGGACAGCGGCAGGTCAGTGGGGTCTCGGGGACCAGAGTGGAGACAAAGTGGCAGCGGGGGCCGGCGCCCCTGGCCAGGTGGCCCTGGTACTGCCTCTACGGCAAGGGTCCAGAGCCATCAGTCTGAGACCAACACCAGAGGTGTCTGCCACAGGAGCCTGGGCACCCAGTGGCCACCAGCTGGGGCCGGCAGTTCCCCCGCTCCCCGTATAAGCAAAACTGGACAACACTGGGCAGAGACTGTCTGCTTGCCTGCTTGCATTATCAGGGAGGGTTACAAAGACAGAGGGCCGTGTTAAACTGCAGACTCTGTAGTCGCCGGCCTGGGAGAATTGAGAAGCAGATTGTCCTCACTGGTCTGACTGGGGACTGGGCTGGGCTGAGAGGCAGGGTGTCTGGAGAGGTTTTTTTTCTTTTTTTTGAAAGTGGACTGAGGTGTTCTCCTGCCAGGGCAGCTTGGTTTGCTTCCCACCTGGCCTTCTACAGTCAATTAATATTTGACAAAGGGGGCAGTAACATAAAATGGAGTAAAGATAGCCTCTTCAACAAATGGTGTTGAGAGAACTAGACAGCTATGTGCAAAAAAATGAAACTTGAGCACAGACCTACACCATACACCAAAATAAATTCAAGGTGGATAAAATACTTAAATATAAGCCGTGACACCATTAAAGTCCTAGAGGAGAACACTGGCAAGAAAATCTCAGATATTCCAAGCAGCAACATTATTACTGATATGTCCCCTAGAGCAAGGAATGTAAAGGAAAGGATAAACAAATAGGATCTCATCAAAATAAAGAGCTTCTGCATGGCTAAAGAAAACAGTATTAAAATAAAACACAACCAACTGTATGGGAAAACATATTTGCCAATGATATCTCAGACAAAGGTTTAATCTCCAAAATATACAAAGAACTTACACGACTCCACTCTAAGAAGACATCTAACCCAATTAAAAAACGGGAAAAGGACTTGAACAGACACTTCTCCAAGGAGGACACACAGAATATCCAGAGACACATAAAGAAATGCTCAATATTGTTAGCTATCAGAGAGATGCAAATTAAAATCACAATGAGATACCACTTTACACCGGTCAGGATGGCTATCATAAACAAAGCAACAAACAACAAATGTTGGAGAGGTTATGGGGAAAAGGGGCCTTAGTTCACTGTTGGTGGGATTGTGGACTGGTACAACCATTATGGAAAACAGTATGGAATTTTTTCAGAAAAATAAAAATGGACCTACCTTTTGACCCAGCAATTCCACTGCTGGGATTATATCCTAAGAATCCTAAAACATCAATATCAAAGAACCTATGCACCACAATGTTCATAGCAGCACAATTTACAATAGCCAAGAGTTGGAAGCAACCTAGGTGCCCATCAGTAAATGAATGGATCAAAAAATTGTGGAACATACACACAATGGAATTCTATGCAGCAGAGAGAAGGAAGTAGCTACTACCCTTTGCAACAACATGGATGGAACTGGAAAGCATTATGCTGAGTGAAATAGGCCAGGCATTGAAAGACAAATACCTTATGATCTCACCTTTAACAGGAAGCTAAACAACAAAACAGGCAAGCAAGCAGAATAAAAATAAAGACACTGAAATAGAGAACACGGGGACAGTGACCAGAGGGGAGAGGGAAGGGAATTTAAGGAAAAAAAAAGGGGAGGGATTTGGAGGAACAAGTATGAAGGACACAAGGACAAGAACTAAGGGGGGTGGAAATGGGAGAGAGGTGGGGAGCACAGGGTGGGATGGGCTGGGATGGGAGAAATAGACAGAAAACTGTACTTGAAAAATAACTAAATGAAATTAAAAGAAAATGCAAATTAAAACAAAAATAAACTATGGGAATAAAAAAATAAAAAAGAAAAAAAATAAAATCACACCATCTTCTGCCAGTGTATCAAAGTGCAGAATCTATATTCTTTTTTTTTTTGGTGGTGAAGGGACAAGTTATGCTTCTCTGATTCTTTTTTCTTTTCTTTTTAGAAGTATATTGTTTGATTGTTATTACAGTTTCCCCAAATTCTCCCTCTTTATTCTCCCTCCACCCTGCACCCCCCAAACCTCCAGCATCCTCACCCTCTTAGTTCATGTCCATGGGTGGCACATGTAAGTTCTTTGAGTTCTCTGTTACCTATACTATTTTTTACTTCTCCCCATCTATTTATGCGTAGCAATTATGCTTCTTTTTTCCTGTACCTTTCCCCCCTATTCTTCCCCTCTCTCTGCACTGACAATCCTCCATGTGATGTCCATTTTTCTAATTCTGTTCCTGTTTCAGGTGTTTGCTTAGTTTTTGTTGTTTTTCTTTTTCTTTTAGGTTCATTTATTGATAGTTGTGAGTTTGTTGTCCTTTCACTGTTCATCTTTTTTTAACTTCTTTTTCTTAGATAAGTCCCTTTAACATTTCATATAATAAGGGCTTGGTGATGATGAACTCCTTGAATTTGACCTTATCTGAGAAGCACTTTATCTGTCCTTCCATTCTAAATGAAAGCTTTGCTGATAGAGGAATCTTGGATGTAGGTCCTTGCCTTTCATGACTTTTCCTTCATTATTTGTTCAAATTCAATTTCTTGCTTTTTAAAAATTTTTAAAGATTTAAAAATTTATTTAGAGGGGAAGGGAAGGAGAGAGGGAGAGAAACATCAATGTATGGTTGCCTTTTGTGGGCCGCCTGCTGGGAAGTGGCCTGCAGGGAACCGGCCAGCAACCCAGGCATGTGCCCTGACTGGGAATCGAACCGCAATTGTCTGGTTCGCAGGCCTGCGCTCAATCCACTGAGCTACACTAGCCAGGGCTCTTGCTGTTGTTTTTATTCTTCTTTATATTCCCTCAGAAAATGGTAGATTTACCAGCACACAATCTGCAGGTAATTCCAGCTATTTTGGGTGTTATCATCATTTAATGTTTTCCTCCTTCTGGCACCCTTATAATTCGAATATTGGAATGTTTCAGGTTGTCCCAGAGGTTTGTAAGTCTATTTTCACTTTTTAAAAAAGATTTTATTTATTTATGTTTAGAGGGGAAGGGAAGGAGAGAAATATCAATGTATGGTTGCCTGTCATGTGTCCCCTGCTGGAAACGGGCCTGCAACCTAGGCATGTGCCCTGACTTAATTCGAAGCACAATCTCTTAGTTTTCAGGCCTGTGCTCAATACACTGAGCTACACTAGCCAGGGCTCTTTTCACTTTTTTAAATTCATATTTCTTCATTCTCTTCCAGTGGGATGTTCATGTCTTTCTTTTGTTCCAAATCGTTGCTTTGAATTCTGGTTTCCTTCCTGTCACTTTTGGTTCCCTGAATATTTTGCTTTATTTCATTTGGGGTATCTTTCATTTGTTTTTTTCATTTTTCAACCAAGCTCAGTCAGTTCTGTGAGCATTTTGATTACCAGGGCTTTAAATTCTCCATTAGATAGTTTGGCTATCTCCTCATTGCTTAGCTCTCTTTCTGAAGCTTTGTGTTGTGGACCACTCTGCATGGTTTCTGGAATTGTAATTCTACACCCTGTGGCTAAGGATGAGCTAGCGACCTCCAGAATGCGAGCCACAGGAGACAAGGCTTGTCTGTGGTAGCTAATGCTGCCTCAGTTTTTTCTCCCTTCCCCCAAAGCTTGGTATGTATTGTTGACAGGTAAATCTCCTCATATCAGGGAGCAACCTAAGCCAGACATGATCACTTTGGAGGCCATCATGGAAGGACTCCGGGGGGGCTGCAACAAAGAGTAAGCAATAGACCCATGCCCCCCTTCTATGTGACATAGCCCCCCCATGTTCTCTGGGAAAATTGCTTCCTGGCCCTAATCCACTTAAGCCTGAATACCTGATGGGGAGGGGTGCAGTTCCTTGCCTTACCAGAGCAGATCCTGGGGGGAAAATCTGGCATCACAAAGAATTCCTGAAAAACCTGTGAAATCTGCTTTGCTAAGAGCACTTTCATTCATATGTTAAGGGTTCAAGCAGAAACCCTAAAAGTTTCTGCAAAACTCCCTTCCTGACAGACTCGGACTCAGACTAAGCCCTCAGATTTCTTTGAAATGTTATCTACTGTTTGATCCTTGCTGCCCTGTATTTCTCTGTATTAGAACCCAATAAAAGCCCTTGGAGGAAGGGGGGTAAAAGGCTTTTTCCCCTGAGAAACTGGCCACTGCTCAAGGCCCTTCCCCTTTGAGGGATCAGCCACCTCTCTTCCCCAAGCAGATCATGTCTTGTTTTGTTTACTTTCGTCAGTGGCAGATGGGGGGACTTGTGGGAAAAGTCACCCCCACAGCTTTGCTCTGTTCTTTCATTAGGGCCATATTTCTTTGTCTCAGCACACTGGTCTGGTTTTTCTGTTTGACTGTTTCTTTAATTCCTTGGTTGTTGGAGCTCCATGCAGTTTGATTTTCTGGCACTTCGGTGGTTTGTTGATTTTAGATTGGTTGTTATCCTCTTTTTGGTTGTGCGAGGAAGTGAAGGGTTTCTACCTACACTTCCTTCTTGGCTGGAAGCAATGATTTTTTTTTTCTTGTAGGACCACAAATGTTCTCCTTTTGCTTAATTTTCTCTTCAACACCCAACAACCTAAAGTTGTTTCTCACTTCTTTTTTTATCTTTATTTCTTTCCTAGAAGCCATTTGAGGATTGATACTTCAAATTGTACACACTTTTGTGATACCTCCCTGTATTCTTTGCTCTCATTTACAAGGGCTTTTAAAATATTTTATTTGACTTTATTATTTCTTAAATTTTCTTATTGTTGTTAAGTTACAGTAGTCCCACCTTTTTCCCTGATGATTTACCCTGCCCTGCCTCCCTGCCCTGCTCCCATAGTCAATTCCCACACCATTGTCCATGAGTCCTCTATTCATGTTCCTTGACTTGTCCCTTTCCCTCCTATCCCACATTATCCCACTTTACCTTCCCTTCTGATCACTGTCAGTTCTTTATTTTTATGTCTCTGGTTCTATTTTTCTCATTTGTTTATTATGTTGATCAGGTTCCACTTAGAGATGAGATCATATGGTATTTGTGTTTCACTGCCTGGCTTATTTCACTTAGCATAATGCTCTCCAGTTCCATCCATGCTATCATAAATGGTAGGAGTTCCTTCTTTCTTTCTGCTGTATAGTATTTCACTGTGCTAATGTGTACCACCGTGGATCCACTCATTTACTGATGGGCGCTTAGGCTGTTTCCAGCACTTGGCTATTGTAAATTGTGCTGCTTTGAACATTGGGGTGCATAGGTTCTTTCAAATTGCTGTTTCAGGATTCTTAGAGTATAATAGTATCAGTGGAATTGCCAGGTAAAAAGGCAGTTCCATCTTTAGTTTTTTTAAGGAAATTCCATACTGTTTTCCACAGTGTCTGTACCAGTCTGCATTCCCACCAACAGTGTACTAGGGTTCCCTTTTCTCCACATCCTCACCAGGACTTGTTTGTTGGTTTATTAATGATGACCATTCTGACCTGTGTGAAGATTTTGCATCTCTCTGAAGGCTAATGATGTTGAGCATCCTTTCATATTTCTTTGGGTCCTCTATATGTCCTTGGAGAATTGCCTGTTCAGATTCTTTGCTCATTTTTTCATTGGATTGTTTGTCTTCCTGGAGTGGAGCTATATGAGATCTATATATATTTTAGAGGTCAAACCCTTGTATGAGGTATCATTGGCAAATATATTTTCCCATACAGTTGGTTCCTTTTTCATTTTTGCTGATGTTTTCTTTAGCTGTGCAGGAGTTTTTTAATTTGATGTAGTTCCATTTATTTACTCTTTCCTTTATATCCCTTGCTTTAGGGGACATATCAGTGAAAACATTGATGCATGAAAGATCTGAAGTTTTCTTGCCTATGTTCTTCTCTAGAACTTTTATGGTGTCATGACTTATATTTAAGTCTTTTATCCATCTTGAGTTTATTTTTGCATGTGGTGTAAACTGGTGGTCGAGTTTAATTTTCTTGTATGGACCTGTCTGGGTCTCCCAATATCATTTGTTTTCTTCAACTTTTTTTGTGTGTATATTTAGCTTACTTTAATTCCATGTTACACTCTATATCACTCTACCTGTTCTAATGATCAGAGTATGTATACTCTATTGAGAGTCAGTGTATATAATATAGAGATTCTAAAAATCACATGTCATTAAAGCCATATCTGATGTATGATCTAATATGAAAAGATATAAACATATTACTTAATAAGAAAGGTATGTATATGAGTTCACAGAATCTGATGTCTTACCTAAAATCTGTTCCAGAGTGCAATGTAGCCTTTCACTGTGAAAATCTGGAAAAAAATTCATCTATGAACTGCACAGCAGGGAAGGTCTGAAGGAGAAGATGGAGTCTAGTGCAGCCATGGAAATCAGCAATTCTGAACTTGTAAAATATAAACATTTCTCCAGTCAGAAAAGACAGCAGTCCTCCGGTCCTCACATTTTCTGTCCTGAATTGATAGACTCCATTCTTTGTACTCTCCAGTTCCTGACTTATTTCTTAACATCTTAGTTGCATACCCCTCAACTCATCTTTTGTTTTCTACACCCTGATACCCCGCTACTCACATGTGCTACTTGGTACTAAAATTCAAGCACTGACCTCTACCTTCCTCCCTTCCACAATTACTTAATTTCTCTGTGCCTTGAGTTCATCTTCTATAAAAAGAAAATAATAGTATGAATTTGGCTGTGGAACATAGTGACTTCGAGTATCATCATATTTTCTAGAGTTGGAACAAAAACCTTCTTAAACTTTCAATAACAACAAAAATACAATACTTAAAACAAAATAAAAGAGAATAATTATAGCATTAAATTTGACATTTAACGTATTGACTCACCTAATTAACAGGAACTATGAGTTTCCAACATTAAATCATAGGCCAGGGTCTTGCTTCAGAATGAACTGAAAAACAGTTCAGTGGTCTCATAAGCTCTAAGTGATACTGCGGATGATCCAAATCATCATATTGGCTTTTCCCACTTACTTACTTGTTCCAAGGGTCAAATACATGAGTGGGCAAAAGTAGGTTTACAGTTTTGAGTATGTGAGAGTTTATTCTTGTATTATTATTCATTTGTTAGTTATTGTAGTATTTATTTGTATTATTCATATTAGTATTGTTATTGTTTTGTATCCTTACTTATGATTTATATTTTAGATAATGATGGCTGGTAATTTAAGTTACTTTTGCACACCCCTATATCTGCCTTTCATTGAACCACAGTTTTCCTATCTGTGCTATAAGGAAAGAATACATTTTCCTGACACATAGGCCAGGGCTGATGTTCACCAGTGTGACTTTACATAGTGTCTCCAAGAGTCCTCTGGAGGGAAGCAGAGGGAAGGATTGTTAATAGCTGTGGCTACATAAACCAACTAGAAAGATATATTGTAGTAAATTTTGTTAAGATAGGCATAAAATCCTTCAAATCAGATAAAATCTGCCATTTGTTCCCCACTGACAAGACATCTGGACTAAATCATTAAAGTAATTGTGTAGAAGATCTACTTTGCACTACTGGTGAAGACTACATCTTCATGTTTTCTAGGAAACTATTTGGTCTTGAATCCATTTTATTTTTCTGTAATAGTTTTCTTTAGTCTGGACTCTGGGAATATTTTCAGCAGAAAGAGACTTGCCCAAGAAATATTCACAAAAGCCAAACAGTACTTAGATCCATGAGAAAAAAAGATATTTGGCGTCTCTCAGAAGACTTTATAGGCTATTTATTCTTGACTATTTTTTCTTCCTTTACCAGTTCTCTGACATCATGCACCTTCCTCTTGCAAATAAATATAAGACCTGCAAGTCCTCCAAACAGCAAGAAACACTTGGGAAAAGTGTTTTTTTCAAGTGAATTTCTTGTGTTTATAACAAGAATATCTTCCTCTCATATTCTATCCTCTTCTAATATCAC